ACTGTTATGTTTTGAGATTTAATGTAGGGCAATTACAGCCAAAGTATATCTGGGGAAAGTCCTAGCAGAGTGAGTACATTTCTGCTTTGAGTGGGTACTTAATTGTTGATGTGTAAGGGGTTCAGTATGCTCCTAAAACTTTATACCCCCTTCCAGACAACAGAATATATGGCCAGGAAGCAGTCTAACACAGTGAGAAGGGAATGCTAACTATTCTCTAGTTACCACTTTGTGGGGCCTGGTACCCTGTTTTGCATCCTCTTTACATCATATTATTCAGACCCAGGCTCCCACGTAGGAAGACAATTACAGAGGATATTCCAGAGATCCTAGAGGTAGCACTTCCACAGATCTGCAATGTGGCTGTGGTATTTTAGACTGCTTTAGGACAACGCAGATTTTAAAATGGATGTAACAGAGCAGGTACAGTTTTACTAAAAATGAAAAGCAGCTCCAAGCTCTCTAGCTACTGCACGTGTTAATTTTTAACGTATGAAGCATTTTTAAGAACTGAGCATTTCATTTAAGGAAATAAATTTATGGCGGGCAAATGAGCAGGGTGGGGAAGGTTTCTGCAGAAAAGAAAATGCAAAGTAACCTACAGAATGGTGGGTTACCACTAATCTGTGCATATAAAGTGTGGCCAATATTTCGCATGTGATGAAGAGCAGATAATCTGTCAGGAAACCAGTGAAACACCAACATATAAATGGCAAAAGCCTAGCGGGACTTGAGGAAGGAATGACCGGTTTTCAGATTTGTAGGAGACGCATACATTGCACTGACCCGTAGTGACTTCCATATTGACAGTACTGATCAGTATCATATCAGAATATTTGATATAATTATTTAGGAATAATTTCTGATTGGTAAGTAATTTCATTTTATGCAAGTCTTGAGTGATAAACTTTTTTCTACAACGGCAGGAACGTCACACACTAGGAAGCATTCCAATTCCCAAAGTGTAATAACACTATATATATTACATGCACACATGTATGTGAGTTTTAGAAATGCCACAACATATTTATATGTGTTACTTGGCAATGTTAGTTCTCCATTAAAACTGTAATACTAAGATCTATTTTTTCAGGCATGTGTGAGGCCTTATAAAACAATAGTTTGTGATGAAATAAACAGCCTATTTTAATTACAATAATATTTTTTTATCTTTGTGTTAAGTATAAGCATGCAATATATGCATGTTTGGCTTTTCTTGTTCTGTTAATCAATTCTTTTTTTGGTAGTATATAAGTGATTTTTTTTATTGTTTATTTTTCAGCATGTTGTGTATTAGGAATTGCAGTGAAGTATGAATTTTCCCTGTTTTCTCCAGTTAGCAACTCTGCATTGCTCTGTCAATAGGGGAGGCTGTCAAATCCAGGATTAATACATAAAATTTGCTTTCAATGCTGCAGGTTATTTATAATTCAATATAGAAAGAATTACATTTCTTCCCATTATATTTGCAGCCAGAATGTACCCTTTAGAAAACCAGTGTTCTGATCAGAAACATCTTCCAGTTCAGAGCAGTAACTTGTACAGATTTTTCCAGCAGCATAGCTCATGTGCCAGCTCACATGCTGGTTCACATTGGGGAAGAATGGCCACCGCTGAGCTCTTAATTTTTAATGATGGCCACATTAAGCACCTCTGAGTGATACTGTCCAGAGAAAAATTAAGAACTTAGTCTTCATGTGCTGCTCAGCTTATTTTCACTAAACTCCAACTCCAAATGATGGATTAGGTAGACCTAATGCTATTTTTTTAGAGAAGAGGCACACAAAATTGCTTCTTTTCATCTCTTTACTTTCGCAGTGGTGGTCAGGATGGTGCAAAAGTTTGTTGCTGGGATTCCAGATGCCTTGGCAACTCCTGGGTGTCACATCTTTAAAATAATGAACAGTTCCATTGGGAAAGTATGAATCAAAATTATGCCTCATGACTAATCAAAAAAGATTGATTTAAAGATAATTCCCCAATGCTCAGATTAGACATCCTTGCAAAAGCAGATGCCTGTTCTGCTAGTAAGAGTGCAGAATTTACGCACAGACATTTTACGCAGATAGTGCAGAGACCAGGATACTTTTGAATGAAAGGCTCTCTTCACAAAGGGCAACTCAGGCAGCCTAAAATAGCAGCCAGTTCCTATCTATTGATTGTGCAGGTAGCCAGAGTATCAACCTAAAAGTGATTCAATGCATGCACACACTAATAGAAAATAGCACAAAGGAAGGAGAAATTATAGGCATTACAAAGATATGTCCAAACAGACCGTTTAATTCAGGGCTTCTCAATGCTTATTGATCCCTGGAAAGTATTTTGAGTTCACATAAACAAGGTGAACATACTTAGATGGGCAGCAAGACCCACCCCCCAAACTGAATGCATGCCCCCAGCCACCACACTGTAAAATACGCTGCACGGGAGCTGCCCTACCCTGCCTGCTGGAGTTGGGTTGCCAGGCAGGCAGCAAGACGTGAACTGTGGGTTCAGGAGAGAGACAGGGAGCTTAACTCCAGCCCTGCAACTGAGACCTCTGCTCTCGTGGCTGCACTGCAGTTCCTCACTCCTTGGGTTACTTCTGTTCTTATCCAACGATGGCACAGCCCCCGGGAGAGAAGCAAAGGCACTGAGCACAGGATCCCTCCCAGCTGCATGCTCAAATACACATCCATTCACAACAACACTTTCAGGCCTCTGGATAGCAAGGTAGGGCTTGTTTGCCTTCCCAGGTACCCCACAATATCAGCAGTGCCTCAGGGACCAAGACAGCCCCTGCAGAAGCCAGGTGCTTTAGTGCCTGGGGGTGTCTGTGTTCCCAAATCAGGGCTCCCACCAGTCTCTACTGGTTTGGGGCATGCTGGAGTGTGACAGCACATTTTCTACACCGTGGTCTCACCCACAGGCTATATGGGTTTGCATGGAGATCCAGTTTAGCTGATCTGACTGTGGGCACATATTTTGTTCTTGATAAGGATCTGACCTCCTAAATTGGAGTATAATCCTTACCAGGGTTGCTAACAAGGATTAGACAGGACAAGGTTTCAGCTAATAAAAGATGGTATTACTGTCTACAGTTTTGTCCTTAAACCATCATGGCAAGAGCCAAATACTTGTGAGCTCTAATATTCAGGCTAGTTACATATTTGAGGAATCCAAGACGTCAAATTCAAGATTCTGGCTTATTTTAAAAATGTGATTGACCAACAATTTCAAATGGATCTCTATCATCCAGACCCTTCCTTAAGATCTGGAAGTGTGTCAGAGTAGGAGTCTGTGTAGGACTGACTTTAGCTATGTACGACATTACAAATTGTTACCACTGATCTCAGTAACAATTAACACTAATTAGCTATTCTAAAGCACTTTATGGAATTTACACTGAGAAAAACCGTGATCAGTTCTCTTACAGAAATGCCAGCACAAATACTTACAGGTAATTTTAGGAAGCAGGTGAAACTGCTTTGAAATCAATACTCCATTTGTGATTATATCTGTGCCTTTGCTTAGCCCCCCAAAAAAGAAAAAAAAACCTCATAGAAATTGATTGTGAGTAAGTTCTGAATAAGTAGATTACAAGAAGTTTTCTGCTAATTCTTTGTAACTTCAGTTCACTGTTTATTTCTACGTATCTCAACTCTTTGACTATTCATTGGAAATTCTGCTTTGATTTCAGCACAATTTCCATCCTTACCAATGAAAACTGTAGGCGTGATATGCTGTCAAACCACTTTACCCCATGTGTGGTGCTCATCACATTAGCACAGCAAGTGTGAACAGTAATCACAGTGACCATGGCTGAGGTTTTTCTAAACAACTGATGCTGGGAGACGAGATTAGTAGACAGGTGTTTGTGACAGAGATATGAAGCATAGTCTTCACTGATACATCACCAACAATTGTGAGCAACCTACTCTCTGGACCTCTGCCCTTCAGCAACACCAAAGGAAAACTGTTTTGACAGTCAGGCATTTCAAACAGGAAAGTACTTGTTTGGATAGTTTCCTTGAAAAAAAAAATCTTCATTGTGCTTTTTCAGATAGAAGAAATCCCATAAAGTGCTCTTATGCTTAGGAAAGCTACCAGTCAATATCCACAAATCCACTGCATTATTCTTCCAGCTTAATTGACACAATTCTTCTTCATAGAGACATTCATAAAAAAAGTCCAGAGACAACAATTAATGCACTGACATACTGTGGCTACTGCCTGTTGAGCCGAGTAATTTCTTCTCCTGTTCCCTTCCACTCCCCTACTTGCCTGCGTACATATGCTGTTTCTTCAGCGTGAGCTCTTCTTAAATCCAACTTCACAGTTATGCTTTTTGGCAATATGCTTACAGTAAATGTAAAAGTAAAGATCAATAGTTCACACCTTCTGCCACTACAAGAATTAACTTCCTATGCTTCTCTGGTTATATTTAGAGCAAAGGGAACTGCTCAAATTACTCTATTTTGACAAATCCCATTGAGTGTTATAACACACACGTCACGCCCTTAGATGGCTTAATGATGCTGCTCAAGACTATAGCAAATTCACATTTTGCTAACTTTAATATGTGCTCTTTCACCTATTGTGCAATGCAAGCTCACATCCAAAATTATCCGCAGTCAGAGGAAACACAGAAAGGCATTGCACAAGCTCATGAGAAGACTGTGCCTGTAGCACCATTTGAGACCCTCTGTAACACCTGAACGGGGCTGGCAGGTGTGACCCACAATGTACAGGAGACCTGTAGGCTTCTGGGACAGCAGCCGGTGGCTAGGTGGGATACCTTGGGGTATCTAAAATGCTGGCAGAGACTCACAGATTTAGAGAACAGAGCTATACCCGTCACAAGCAAAAGTCTACTTGAGCCACAGTAACACTGGCCTTATTACCTTGACCCGTTAACCTGGTTTGGGTTACATTCCATCTTGATGGTGACTCTGGCTGGGGGCTGCGATAACCAGTCTTGCTGGGGAACACGCGGACTCATCTTTGACGTCTGCCCATATTCACTGGAGGAGGAGGCCGTCATCTCTGTCTTCGCGAGGTGGGGCGATCCGTAGGCACACTCGAACAAGGACTGGTCTTCACTCACCACTGATAACGCTTCCTGCAAACCACAGAAGAGAAGCCAGTGCAACCACATTTCAGAGCAGATATTACAATATCCTCCAAATGAAAAAGGGCTTGTCTGTCTCATGAAAGGACGAACAGCCAGTCATTTGCTTAAATGCTCATTACTTTTTAGGCACACCACTGCTGTTGGTGGAGGACTCACGGTGCCAAACATGCTGTCAGCATATCACGGGAGGACAACCTCTCCCCTGGGGAGACCTTTCCCACCAGCGGGTGAGAAGATGCACAAACACACACTACCAAACATTTAGGAATAGTGGCCAGAAGCTGAGAGGGAGGAGAGGGCAGAATGAGCAGTGAAGCTCAGGCCTCCAGTGTCACAGGCAGGGATGCAGAGGGCCACATCTGCTGGGGGCGTAAGCAAACTGCCATCGCTGCTTTAACTGCTCCTGCAAGGAGCGACCAAAAGCCAGGCCTTGCTGACTCACTGGGAGCTCCTCTTCCTTCCTCTGGGACACAGGCCAAATCCCTTCCGGACAGGGAGCTGAGACAGCTGGGCGCAACCTCCAACCCAGGGACCCTGCTTTTTCTGCCAGCATCCGCTGCCACCTTCGGCAGAGGTGCTTGCCACCAGCCCTGAGAGGACACCATGCCCACCAGCCGCCTTTCTCTCTCTCTCTCTCTCTCTCTCACGGCAACCCTCCCTGGCCAGCCACCTGGCTGGGGCATCCCACTCTGGTGCTGTGGGAAGGGCAACCCCAGCCACCTTCCCTGACCGTGGCAGCACTGAGGTTATGGCCCTCAAGGGCAGCAAGGTTCACCAGGCCCCTCGGTGGCGGGACAGCTGCCATCGTGGCTGGCTGGAGACCAGACAGACACCAGACCAAGTGAAGGCCAACCTCTCTCCCCACTGCCGTGCATTTGTGTTGGCACCAATTCCTTCCCCACGTTATCTGGAGCTGAGTCATGGGAGCAAGGCGGTGCCCAGGCCCGGCTTGCGCAGGCAGTGTGCCCACCGGGCCCATCAGGAAGCTGCGGGAAGGGCTGATGCTGTCAAAGGGACCCATCCTGCCTGAGCCAAGGCTCCCCATCCATGGGATCCAGTCTGGGCTCCCACCCTCCTGCTGGCCCCCAGCACCACACAGGTTCAGGGGACAACCTCTGCAAAAGCAGCCTTCCAAGGAATAAAACCCCTCTCAGGGTGAACGTGGGGCATAAAGCGTGTAAATGGACAGTAACCCAAAGCACAACTCCCCCCTCCCACCCTGGTGCTATGGCTCTGCCCTGAGACGAAATGGAACAGGGGTGCAGCCCGGCATCTCCCTCCCCACCATGTGGCCCCTGCCAGCAGCCAGGGAGCAAGCTCCAGCACCAGGCCGGCAGAGGAGGCTCGGCGTGCAGCACACCAGATGACAGCAGCCATGGAGGCGGCCAGCTGGCGATGGCTGGAGATGCAGGGGCCAAGGATGGGGGTGCGGTAGGGGGAACCCAAGCCAGATTCAGGGCAGGGTGCTCCGCATGCGACCACACCCTCACGAGGCAGCGTGTGTGGGCCCACGCTGCTGCCAGCCCTGCTGTTGACGGCCGACAGGAGGACAATAAAACCGTGTGGCCCTGTCAGCAGAGGAGGACGCGGTAGAGAGGGGAGAGAGAAAAGAGACAAAGTAGTGGGAGTCCTCCAGCATCGGGAAGCCGGGCAGCTGCCTGCAGGATCCTACCTTCCCTGGCTGCTGAAAAAGGGCTTTGCACAAGCTCCAGCAGTCACATGCTGCCCTAAAAATCGACAGTTGTATTTGTTCATTTTAAGGGGGTCTGCATTTATCATTCTTTTTATTTGCCCAGTTTGTGAGCCCTCAGGGTGCATTCTATTAATATTCATAGTTTTCTCTGTAACCACAAGGGTTGGAACATCACTTTCTTATTATTACTTCTCATGAAAATTGAGATCACCCCTTAATCTTTGGACTTGGGGAATGAGATCTCAAGCAGCTGTCCAAATGCCATGAGAGTCATGATTGAATCACTAACACTAACGTTTCCCACCACAGGCCAGGACGCAAAATTCAGACAGGGATGTTCACCATTTCATTAATGCTTTTCGGATGCTGTTTGAGTCCAAAGGTCACCACCAGGCTATCACCATTAATATTAACTAACTCCCCAGTTAGCATCCCTGCTTTGCATGCTCTTCTGCCAACCTGTGACCAGCTACTGAACTGCTGCCTCTTGGGTCTCTGGGGGTGTGAAAGTGCTTCTACGAGACAGAAGGGATGCCAGAATAACACCTCTCCTCTTTGCCGTGCCTCTCAGACTCCTGTGGGTCTCTGGCCTGCTAAAAACTACTGCTGTCAGTGGTCTCAAGCTTTTCTGATGAGCCATTTCTGGGAAAGCCTGCAGACAGCTCTTGCTTTTCAAGAAGGTGTCGGGGGAGAAGGCTTTTGGTCCCTCGCTCCCCAGAGATTGCTCCCTGGCTACACTGTGCTGAGTGACAGCAGAGGCACTTGATGTGCTTGGATAGTAAAGTAGTAGGGATCATATTGCAAGAACTAAAGAAAGAAAATTTTACACTGGAAAGAAAATAAAAAGTTCTTTCTCAGCAGTCTGAAAAAAGAAGGAAAAAATATATGTACACACACACACACAGCAGCCTGGCCAGGCAATCACAATGCATCCCACGCCTGAGACTATTTACAGCACAGTTCCCTCTTGTCTGCCCCACTGTAGAGCTAATATATGAGCCAAACCCCATGCAATTAAATGTTAATTTTGGAAGAGCTAGCTCCAATAAATACATGAAACTGTGAATTACACAGGAGAAAGCAGACACAAGGTTGCAAATACAAAAGGGAGAAAAGTATTTTACTCTGCAAACCATTTAGTAATAGACCTTTTCAAAACAGGCATCAAACACTATATAATGGATATATTTCTCATCCTCCTCCACAGAAGTGAAATAAAGCAAATTTATTGTGCTTCCTATTAAACTTGACTCCACTTAATATAAGTTAATTTATGAATACTTAAGGTAAGTATAAATGTAAACAAAAAATACGCTTTTTCTATTTATTTGCATTACTAATGATAGCAAATATTGCTTGTGCTATGGATGTCTATCATGTTGCATGCACAAAGAGGGAAAGTACACATAACTTCCTGAGGAGGACAGTAAACGCTGGAAATATAAGCCAAATTAATGAGAGTTGTATGAATATCTAAAAGACCATGGCAAAACCAAGACAAACATAAATGAACCCAAGAAACAGACTCAGACTTCACATTTCAGGAAAAAATGTATACTTTTCATGGACAAATATTCAAGCTCAATTTGCTAGCTAGTTTTGTTCTGATTTAACAGCAAACACTCATCTACACTCCATCCTGCTAGTATCACCCCTCAAGCACATTACAAATGCTGAACTGGACATCTAAGCTTTTGCATAATTTTGAGGAGTCAGCATAACTAGAGAACATGGTCTAAACTAGAATTAGCCTTACTTCCTCTTTAACCATCTTTTATCTCTTCTTGCACATAAAGTAAGATTGAGGTTTCAGTGTGGGAAGCACGGAAACTATGTTTAGCATCTGTTCTGCTAGTCCTCCTGTCAGCCAGGATTCAAGCAGTCATACTGACTGTCCTCTCCTTCAAAGACAGCTAGGACCATTGATGACAATTTATCAGCAATCTCTACAGGTGATATATACGGTCCTTGCATATTGGAGTTGTGTGTTCAGGGTTGGCAACTGCTGCCTTTCTTCCTCTCAGTGACCTTAAAAGGTGAGGATTTCTGGCCCAGGCTTTGCTGAATCCACTGACCTTGCAAGACATAGTGATGCTGAACAATCAAAGCTCATACAACCTGATATAACCTCATGTGAAACTCATACTGTGGGAAAGCACAGAAACAGCATCAAGAAATATGAAGCATTTTCAGCTATACAAGAATGTCCAACAACTGGCATAATTTGGTATCCCCAAAACGAGACAGAAAATGTTCTTCAGCTGCTTCTTGCATGCATTGTTTCATCTTGTCTTTCCTGGATTCCTCTTTTACTAATTAAAGCCTTCAAGCCTTAACCCTGCATAAGCTGCAAAAGAAAGGCTCTAACAGCAACCCCCTGTACTGAACAGCTGATAGAAAGCAGTATTTCTTTCTTAAAAAATGTGCTTTCTGCTATAATTCTAAATGCAAGCTCCTGGACCAAATGTAATACAAAATTGTCAGCATTTACCATCATGAAGAATAAGCCGCATGGTCTGGCCACATATAAACATAGACAAAACTAGTAATACTGACAATGTTTGGCAAGGGTGTTTCAACATATGGATGCCAGTTCTATTCCTAGTAAAATACTTTTCATTACTCATTTACATGTTAAACTTTTTTTTTCTCATCCATATTAATGCTGTTTCTGGAGCAGTTTGGCAACATCAAGCAGTAAGTAGGATAAAGCAAGGTAAACATTAAAAAATAAAAAATAGATGCATTATAAGGCTTCTTTCAATCTTGCCAAGTTTTATACCTTTATGGTATATAATTCTAGTAATGCATGGGTCATTTTCATGGATTTCTCATGACAGTAACATATTCTCATGACATCTCAGAAATTAAGCCTTTCATTTCTAGTAACCAGTGTCTGGAGTAATGTAATATGAAGAAAGCGACACGTATTGCTTACAGTGGCAGGTAGGAAAGGTCTTTCATGAAAGTCTATGAAGTAGAGCTGTTGATAATATTATCTGAGGTTAATATTGAACATGGATTTTCTTTATTTCATCTTCCTTTCTCCTCATACTTCCTCTCATGACATCACCAGCAAAACATAAATATCTGCTCCTTCATTAAGATTTTTTTATTTTTTAATTGCTTGTGCTGTGCAAAACCTGGCTTCTTGCTTGGACTTTCTGTACTTATGATAAAGGAAAAAAAAGTATTCTCTATTTGGTTTTGACTTATACTTCACTGATAAGTTAAAAAAAAAAAAAAAGAATAACAGACCGACAAATTTGTAGAACAATAGGTACAGCAACGCCTT